ATAGCGCATCACAGAAATAAACTTCTTCAGCATTTCCTTCGATTTATTACAACAAAAAGAAAAACTTATAAAATATAGAATAATGTTGATTCTAAACATATTTTTAATGATCATAATATTCTATTTTTTACGCATTATAATTCTTCAGAACCTTTTTTTTATTCGTTGCCTTAATACTTTACTATTGTGGGTATGTAAAGGCATAGAGGTACACATGAAGAAGAAAAAAATTGCTTTTGAATTTGAGAAGAATGGAAAAAAATATTTCAAATCACTTGAAGAGAAAAAGTTAAATTTTCAATCGAATCCTTTTCCGATTCAATATTTCTTCCTCCTTACTTCTCGTAATCCTTTAAATTTGCAAGAAAAATAAAAAATAAAAATTTTGCTTCATGGATCTTATATTATGATGTAATGGTATCCTTTCATAAAGAGCTTTGCAAGCATTTTTTAACTTCTCTTCTTCTTCGTCTCCTTCTTCCCTATTTATAACCCAAAAATCGCATGTATATCATACATACTCTCTAAAAAGACTTCAACATAAATTCATTCACATATAAAAAATTTTAATATTTATTTCATAGATTTTTATTCATAAATCAAATGAGTTGGAGTAAAGTTATGACTGTGTGTGGAGGTCTTTCAACCATTTGAGGATTTGAATTTGAAATTGCTGGGGTTGGAAAGCTTTTTTTGAAGAAATTTGCAATGATTTTTCGAGAATATTGAGTTCAAGATGATGTACTTGATTCAAGAGTGATATAAATAAACATGACTGAGATTTTTGAGTGGATTTTACATGTTATAGACGGAATATTAGCTTTATTATTGTTAAGCTCATTTTAATCGAGTTTTTTGAAATAGATCTTGATGAATTCCTTGAACAGAAATCTTAGAACGTTTGGAACAAAGCAATGAAAATCAGTTCAAGATAAGCAATTGAGACGCTTGAGTTTTCTGTGTCTTCAGCTTCAATTCAAAGACATTTCGCAAGCATTTTGAGAAATGTAATGTACTTTACATGCATAAACATTTAAAACGTCATAACTTCCTTGGAATGTGATGAAGAATTGCTAATAATTGAACCAGTTCGTCAACAACTCTCCACAACTTCTTAAAAAATCCAAAATAAATCACATTCAAGCAAGAATCACTCAAACATTCCATCATAGACCACACCTCATCACCTCAATAGTTCCAGACATCGAGTCTCAAGAACTGAGTTTAGAGCATTACAAGACAGATGTTTAAAGCTGAAGTGCTACATAATTCTACAATAATGTTGGCTTCATAAGACATGAACATACCTTAACAATGAAATGTGTTACGACAAGATGCTTTATTTCTTTGCTTGGCTTTTCTTCTTATTGCTTTCTTTTCAGTTCTATTTGCGATGGTTCTTTTTTTTCCTCGCATGTATGTGCTTATGTATCTTTATAAAGATACATTCATGTTTCATACTTATACTCTTTCATACGAAAAAAGAGCCAAACAAGCAGCCAGTCACCGCCATCATCATCATTGGGGCTTTTGTGTGCTTATTTATTTTTCATTTTGGTTATAGAAGTTTTTTTCCGTTTACTCTTTTTTAGCAAAGTTTTTTTTTGGGATATGTGAAGGTGTGGATTGTTTGAAATTTGTCTTGTTGGATTGATTACTTCAAATTTACCTTCAGAATTTTTTATTTAAGCCTATTCAACCAGGCACTGATGCTCTATTCGTACGTCTTCATTTTGAGGTGTTTTATTCCTGATAAAATCAAATCCATTCGAATCAAGAATTCACAGTACAAGCTTTCACCAAAATAAGTACTAGATTTGCACAAAAAGTACTAGATTTTACCAAAATTACAAAATGGTCTCAAAAAAGGACTAGATTGTCAATTAAAATTACTAGTTTTGTATTAAAAGTGTTAAATTTTCTCCCAAAAGTAATGTTAAAGCAAAGGTAATACCTGATTTGTGCCAAAAAACCAAACAAGCCAAAATGAACAATTTTTGCTGTTGAAGGCTTCCAAAACGTCAAAAAACACAGCTAGTGCACAAGCATTCTTAACAGCCTACATACCCAATAACAAAACTCAATTCATTCACAAAACATGAAGAACTTCTCGGAAGCATTCAATTCTCAATCCCTAACCTGATTATATTCAACAATATTATTTTTTAAGCCAAATGCGTTAACTTCACCATCCTACGGCCATCTCAACTCTTATTTTTTCAGTTCCCTTTTGTTTCTTTTCAATTCATTCTTTATTTTACGCTGAAATGAAGAAAAATAAAATGCTGAAATTTATATTTTTGCAAGTAGCTCTTTAGCAGTGAAGGATTTTGGGGGTAGAAAAAAGACATGCACAAGCATGCCATTTAGCTCGACTCTGATACTCAATGTAAAGACTTTCCTTTGCTCTTTTGTGTTTTGCTTTCTATTTCCATTCTTTTTAAACCCCATCCAAGATGGAAATACTTTTATTAGCTCCAACTCAGAATCTTTCCACATTCTAGAGCTTAGTTTTTTTTTTGGTAACTGATATTTAACACTGAATGAGGTTATCCTTTGTGTGTGCAAGACTGACTTGAGTTAAAGAGAAAATTGAGGCATTAAACTAATCTTGTACGATCTACACATGCTCTCATCATTATTTCTCATTCAAAAGTTAATCCATGAAAGTTTCATGACGAATTTATTTAAAAAATATATACACATTGCAGTGTGCGACACAGAAACAGAAACTTGAAGGCAGAACGAAGTGAAAGAAAAGAAAACTTTAAAATTGAAATGAGGCTGCTATTGCTGTTGATTTTCTTTCTATTTTATAATTCACACAGAACAAAATAAAATGAGTTGGGATGATATTTGAGTTTCTAGCAGCAACATGTGGCGATTTTTACGATGCAAATTGATTTTTTTGTAGTTTGCGTCATCAATGGACTTTGGTGAGTTTTCAGAAGGGTAGAAAATAGGTTATTTATATTGGATATACTAAAAGCATGAGCATGATGATGTTGTTGACAATAAAATATTACAGAATAGAATTCTTAACAAAAAGGCTTTCAAGGGTTGGCTTTTGACACCACACAGATCTCTTAATAAGGTTTGATCAGTCCACAACTAAACAACTGTGTTCCCTTCACAGTAGCTTTTGGATCTCGAATTCTGATCCAACCTAATCTTGATTTTACTGTTTTTGAGAACAATAATTTATCCAGGAGAATGTGTCAGGTTTTGATCCTGACGGATTCAATAGAATCAGACATTGAAGACAAAATTAACGTTAACTTCACAACACTTTCCCAGAATAAAGCACAAGAAACAAGAGCAAAAATTGTATAGAGGTAGGTTGCGGAATAAATAATTTTTTTTATGTTTCAGACATCATCCAAACTCGTCGACAGCAATAGAGCTATTTTAGCAAATTTTGCGGGAATTTTGCTCACACTTTTTTATTTCACAGCATATCTCATAGCTGTATGAGTTTAAGCAGTCGTCACAATGCAATGACACACAGCACAGTGTGACAAGAGACAACGAGAAAACTTAGATTATTATTCATGCCAATTTTCATTTTCATCTCTATTTCGTCTTTCTTTTTCTTTATTATCTTCTACTTGCTACTTGCTACTGCTGTTGTTTTATTCAAAAATATACAAATGATTTCTTTCTTTCCTATAACTTGCTTCTGATGTTGTGTCTCTGCGTTGATACTCGTCTAAACCAAAATTGGTACGAGAAACGAAAGTGAGGAATTTTTTTTTGCATGCATTTTTGAGGGGAGATTTTTGTGGAGTTATGCTGTTGAGCTAGTGAATACCTATAAACTTACTTTGATGGCCAAACTGATAAATTATCATCCTTGACGTTGTTCAGATGGTCTGAAGCTGAATTTAGCGAAAGAATGGTATTAAGGTGTCTTAATTAGGTATGGACTTCATCAGATGACCAACAGAACTTAAAGAAACAGTTTTAGGTAGAATGCATAACAGATAGTTCCAATGATTTTTTGAATTATGATAAAAATAATCTAATTTCAATTTTTTAACCTTAAACCTTAAAATTGGAGTCTAGAGTCAGTATCATGTAGCTTCAAGAATATGCCTGATAAAAATCCAATAAATCCTTCATCATAAGCTTCAACCAACTTCATAAAAGTCATTCTAACTATCTACATCTTCTATATCTTATCAAACTATCCTTCTTATCTATTCTAGTTCTTGCACCACTGCACAATGTCGAGTTATGAACAAAATATTTTTATATTCCTTCTTTGTCTCTCTTTTTCACCCTTCCGTATCATTTTAAAACGAACAGGTTGCTCTAATAATTTTTCTGTCGGTGCTGCTGTCGAAACAGGAAACAATAGTTTTAAAGAAAATTTTCTTCATCCTGGTTTTATCTTTTTAAGCTTCCTTTTTTTTGAATAATGGAAATTTAGTTTTTTTACAACTTTTCGATATTCTCAAGCGATATTATTTTATGTCTTTATTTTCGTGTCATGTATTGATTCATTTGAGGATGGCAAATTCCACCGGAATAAGAAAAAAATTATATAAAAGTTGGACAGAGTTTTTTTATTCCAAACGAGACAAAAAGAACGGAAAGTTTTAAAGAAAGTTCTTGGAATAAAAAAAAAAGAAAGTTTACGACTCGTTGATTCATAAAATATCACACATAGTGCTGCTCTTGTCTCTAAAAAATAACAAAATTGAAGAGATAAAATGGAAATTTCTAGTTTCGTGTTTTTATCTTGAAATGTCATTGATATTATTATTCTTTGGGGATACTTTCTCTAGAAATATAGAAGTGCAGTTTTTAAAAAGTTTTTGAATTTGTTTTGGCTATGAAAATTGTTTATGTGAATAAAGAATTGTAAAGTGGACATTTTTTGAAGAAGGATTCTGGAGTCCAGAAGAAATTATGCTCCTGCACGCATTTTGTCCATTAAATTAAAACACAATAAAATTTTCAATTTAAAGTTAAATTTTTTATTAATCATAATTATTTTACTTTGATGTTATTGAAAATTTCTACAGCTAATTAGTGGATGCATTTTATAAGATGATACAATAACAGAGTATTGTGTATTTTGAACATAACTCGTGATCCTGAGTGCTGGACTCATGTGTCCCACTCAGAAACATAAAGAACTTAAAACATAGAATTTCCAGCACAACCAATTAATGGAATCAATACTGGAGTATTCTTTTTATAAATCAGGTAATCTTCATTATCGCCAAACTTAGCATCAGCTCTTTTTTCCAAAAGAGGAATTCCACTAACAAAAATCAGCAATAATGCCACAAATACTGGAGATATAAAGACGCCATATGATTTAGATCCACTGAATGCGATGAGAGAAAATGAAAGCCACAATAGAATTTCTCCAAAATAATTTGGATGCCTTGAATATTTCCATAATCCAGAATTGATAAAGAGGTCCTTGTTTTCAGGTACCAAACGAAATTGGAATTTTTGATAATCAGCAATTGTTTCAAATAAAAATCCGACGATGAAGAGGCTGATTCCAATATAATCCAGAACATTGAATTTAATGCTGTTTTCTTTTTGACCCATGATAAGCAATGGAAGTAACGTCATAAATACCCATACACCTTGTAGCGTCCATGTCATTAGGAATTGCCAGTTATTTTGTTTAAGTTCAGTAAATCTTGCGTCGACTCCATTATTATTATGAATTCTTATAAACAAAAATGCTCCCAATCGAACAGTCCAGATGATTACAAGAGTATTAAGCAATGCAGTTCTCATATTGTAGTGTTTACTGAACACTGAATTGATGATCGTTGTAGTGATGAATGTGATGCTTCCAACAATATCATAGTACTTCTCGGTCCTCTCATTTCCAAAGAATCCTCCAGCATGAATGAAGACAATCCATTGAAATCCAATAGCATACAATGCAATATAGCTTAGAGTGAATCGATTGTCAGCTCTAAATGCAAATGCTATTCCTTGTGTTAATAATATGCAAAAAACAACAACAAAAATTGATCCCCAAGTAGTTTTATTCATTTTTAAAATTATTTAATATATGCTGTTCACTGTGTTGATGATTGAAGTATACTGATATTAATTCTCAATTATTTAATTATTTTAAATTATTTTACATCGTTACAACTAGTTAAAATCCCAATGTTTAGCAATTTGATTAGATAACTCTAGATAAGTTTCTATCCAGGGGAGAAACAACTCAATCGAAAAACATTTGGTCCAGAATCATAAAAGAGCTCAATTGCATTTGTGATCGTTCAATAATGATATCTATGGAAAAGGGGATTGTTTCCTCCTAGTTACAAAACAGTGTTGCAAATGGAGATGTCTACACTAGATGAAGAATGTAGATTCCCCAATAGTTTTTGTCTAGCTAAGAAACTTTCTTCATAAAGATCGATTCTACATGAAGATAGAAAATCTAATCTACACAAAGATTATTTCTACATAAAGAATCTTTCTACATAAAGATTCGATGTAGATGTCTACAATTCTACATTCTTCTCTGATGTAGACCTGGAAAAAATGTAGAATTGTAGACATCTGATGTAGACCTGGAAAAAATGTAGAATTGTAGACATCTACATCGAATCTTTATGTAGACAGAATCTTTATGTAGAAATAATCTATGTGTAGATTAGATTTTCTATCTTCATGTATAATCGATCTTTGGCCAGAATGCAACACTGTTACAAAATGAAGCATTAGACACTTTCCTTCATTAAAAGTGGGAACGGTACAATAGATTCTATCATCGATCAGGATCGCAGTGCCTTCAGCTCATCGCAACGTGTAGTAACACACCGCCAGGCTGGAACCCTCTCACATTATTATTATTATTATTCATTAAAAGTTGAACGCCATTTATGAACTAGCTCTTAAAGTCACAAAACTTTGACAGTGCATTGCCCAAGATATCTCCCAAAAATCCCAAAATTAGACATAACTCTTATAATGTATCAAGAAGTTTTCTTAATTCTATAAAACATTAAGCCTAAAAACCATTAATGCATCCCACAAAACTTTCATAATTACCATTTCTAAAAAGCCATTCCAATCCATTTTCCGATTTTCTAAATGCCATCATTAGATTGTTCAATTCAACATTCTAAGAAGAACCAAAATACCAACAAAAAAATGTGAAATCAAATAAACAATTTTACTGAAATTCTTGTGACTATCTCAGCATTTCTTAATGCCTAATTATACCCGATGTAAAAGGAAAGTTTTGTAGATAATAATTAAATAAATGGATAATCCATAACATTTTCTCTAAATGAGTTTATATATGCTCAACAACAAACTATTGTTCATCTCCTATAATAATTTAATGTATTGTTGTCTTGGAATAACTTGAGGAGTCTTAAACTTCAAATTAGTTTCATCACAACAACAAATAACTTCCATACATGAGTAAAAATTCCTTAAACGCCCAGCTCATTGAACTAAGAAGAAGACGAGCAAAAAAGTTCATAAAGTTTCTTTTGTTTTCTTGTTGTTTATTTTGCTAATAAACAAGGCAAAGAGAGAAGTTTAACACAGGAGTTCAAAGGATTTCTTCCACATCCACTCGCTTAGTACGATGAGCAGCATAACATTATTCCTTCATGTGATCAAATGCACGATTTATTTTCCTATTTATTTCCAGGAATTTTATTTTACTCACAATCTTTTTCAATATTCTACGGTGAAGAAGAAGGAGAAGATGATGCGATATGAAAGGAGTGTGGAAGTTAGGAAGTTATTGTTTAGTTTGGAGGATTAGCGCTTTGCATTTTCTTGTTGTTTGACGATATTGAACTTAGTTTTGGATCGTTTACTTATGAAATTCATCAAAAACAAGGATTTTCTGTACATGCTGTTTAAACTTGTTAAAAAATTTCTATCTCAGCATTTTACTGTTGTTTTAAGTTGATGTATTGAGAGAATGATCTGATTATCTTTCAAAGATACTTCCTTAGTATTCTGATAAAACCTTCGTCTTGACTTTGACTGATTCAATTGTTTTCGAACTTAATAATGAAAGATCTTACTTACCAATATTATAGTCACATAATCTATGCACACTTTTCTTTCGAATGACTATATTTTTGTCACTATTTTCCATCAATGGTTTACTTGCAACCAAGAATCAATTCAATCTGACAAGATTCAAATTGCAATTGTAAAAGAAATATCATTTGATGATTCAATGCAACTGAAATTACTTTTCAAAGATCCAAGAATACAAACTTAATGCAACCAAAGACTTAGTGACAAACCTACAATCATCAACTAGTCTTAGTTGTTCCTGTTTCGAAACAAATAATGTTTTCCGAATAACTTTTTTGAATTTAATTCAACAAAAATTTGTATCAAAAGAAATAACAATGAGTTCATCAATTTTCGTCAATCTGAAATTAATGAGCATCAAATAGATGATTCACATCTTTGTATTATTGAAAATGAATCATCTACAGCCAAACCGACACCTAATTCTCAAGATATGAGGCTAAAATAATATTTCCATGTGAATAAGAAAAAAAACTTTTCATTTTTATGATTTTTCATAAGCATAAATGGATGTAAGAAAGTAGACTAGATATGAACGGTTATTTTCCAAACAATAAAAAGGAATAAATGAAAAACTTTTTATACGTAAGTGGAAAGACAGCATTATGATGACTCTCGTTTTAATGGAAAAAGCATATATAAAGTTATTGTGCTCAATTTTTCTTTTCTCTTTTATTTATTTCTCCTTCAACTTCCTTTTCTTTCATCCTCTTCAGACGTACACCTCATCCATAGTTCCTGTTTTTACGTTTTTCACTCCCCTTTAACATCTACATTTCTATTCTTTACACTGTGCGGTTCCTTTATCAATGATGTAACATACGGATAGTTGACATAAAGTTGCAGGAGCTAGTTTGTTGAGCTTTATATAGCCATAGGATTCAGCCCTAGACTATATATCAACTATATAACTATATATCACTATATAGTATATATATATATATATATATATATAGCCCTAGACTATATATCAACCGAGCCTGATTGACAACTTATGGATTGAAGTTATTCTGATGCTATGGACATTGCCATACTTGTAAGGATGGGAAACATGAAACAGATCTCTGAATAGCTATTTAGACATTTTCAATATTCAATACTTAATCAAACGCACGAACAAAAAGCTTTGAAACTAAATCAGTGAACAATCATGAACTACTTACTTAACTTGAGTCCTAAGATCAAGCTCAGGCTTTACTCACAAAGAGCCTAAACTCTACAACTAAGATTACTCATTCCATTTGATCCTACACTCATTAGTGTAACAAGAATCTCTATACACTCGATAGTCTAAAGTATTACACATTTTCATATCTTCCCACCTCGAAATGTCAAACATCATTCACAAACAACCCTTATACTTCCTCCTCTTCTCTTTTTTTTTCATCATCGTGATTCCAATATGATTCTGATTTCATCCATAAAAAAATCTTCTTATTTTCATTTCTTTATTTTTTTCACTCACCTCCTACATATAATTTGATTCTACATCTACATGATGTCAGCCATTCTCCTCCTTCCTACTTTTCTGTGTGTCGCATACTCACCCAAAAAAAAGAAAGAAAAATAAGAATCAAAGAATCGTGGCGCCACACAAAAAAAAATGCTGTTATAAGGGAAGGAAGAAGCAGAAAAAGGCGAATGAACGGAGAGAGAAGATTGAATCATTCTCGTTATTTTCGTCAGCATAAAACTATTTTTTTCCATCTTCTTCTTCTCCTTCCCACATCATTTAGCCCCTCAATCATCTCTCCCTTCTCGATTCTATTCCCTATTTTTACATGCTGCGTAGATTTTTACTTCCTAGAGATGGGAACTTTATTTAATATAATGTAGTGCTTTATAGATTTTTTTGTCTGCTTTATTGTCACAAATATTGATGGAGCAATTTAGCACAATTGCCACGTACATCCAGCAACTGCAAGAGAGCAATTTTATTGATTTTTACTTTGTAAGCGATTATGGGATCAGAAATTTTGTGCATTTCTGGGTGAGTTGATTGATAAATGAATTGAATTTGGGGATTGGATGGGGGTGTCTCTTTTGGTGTGTCTTTATTTGGATTGACAATTAAGGATAAAAGAGTATTGTTAGCAGCAAAGCATTTATAATCATTTATAGGTTCATCTTTAGACCAGGAACTGGTTTATGGGTCTACTTGAGACAATCATTTTGATTTTTAAAAACACCAGGTAGCTTTCGATACCAGCACTAGCTTTGCTGTCAGATGATCTTAAAGTTTATCGACAACAGACTTCCTTGGGCTCCCTAGACATGCAATTTTCAAGAATTGACTTTACTTTGAGTTTTATTACGACTTTAGTAAATTGATGAGATTTGAACTTACGTCTTGTTCAAAGAGAAATCAACTTCTCTATCTAAGCTAGTCCCTCCACTTCTCCCTGGAAACAATTTACTCTAATCTGACGAAATCGTCTCCAAATGACTCATCCCTAGCATTATCATTCAATAGGATCATAAACTTTTATGAACATACACACAAACACATTGAAAAAATCATTTTTTTAAAGTTTCACATTACATAAAAGTTACAATGGAATTTTTGTTTGTTGCATGTTCCGAATGGCTTCTGTGTTTGTTGTTGAATGTGGATGTAAAAAAAAAGTCGAGAACTTAAATTATATGCGAGACAAGACAGCGTCAAATATTTAATTGTCCCGACAACATTTTATGCAATCTCCTCCACTTCATATTCACGATATTGCATATATACACAGAGAGAGATGTGCATATAAACACACGATGAGCAAAGCTATCGGGACATTTGCCAAATGAATTTATCGTTCAAGCACTTTTACGTTTCTTTTGGGCTGGATTTTTTTGGGGAAATTGTGGAGGAATGGAATGCTATTTGGGTGGACTCTAAGGTTTGAATGAAACGAGACTTACTCTTGATTGAAATAAGGTAGTTCTTGTTACTTGTGGTTCGTTAAGAAATTGAATTTTGAGGCTTCTTACACTTATTTGTGGTTTTCAAACTATAATAGACCCTCTATAGAAATTTAAGCCCTGATTAAAAATTCTGAGATTAATCCAGTCAAGAAAAACC